CTGGCATCGAGACCTCATCTCTACAATAAAATCAAAAATCAGCCAGGCATGGTAGCGCACACCTGTAGTTCCAGCTGCTTGGAAGGCTGAGTCGGAAGGATCACCAGAGTCCAGCAGGTCGAGGCTGCAGTGGCCGGGAGCGGCCACTGCACTCCAGTCTGGGTGACAGAGTGAGACTCCAACTCAAAAAAAAAAAAATTAGCTGGCATCACTTCTGCTCACATCCTATTGGTCAGAACCTGGTCACGTAACCCCCAACTTGGGGAGGCTGGAAAAGTGTTTTTCACCAGGCAGCCACGTTCCTGGTACACAGTAGGTGGTTAGTAAGGGTCAGCGGTCATTATTATTCATGTTACTATGACATCAGCAGTTGCAGTGGAGTATGTAGGACAAAGGACCTATGATCACACAAAAACTGAGCTGATGGACAGCAAAATGCCAGCTTGGTTGGGGGAGTGTTGCTTGGGACCATGGCAAGACAGTTGGCTTCCCAATCCTGCTTCTCAGGGAGGCAACCTGGCTTCCCAGGCTCTGGCCACATGGGACGGCCACAGGGGTGTGCCCCGATGGGGGAACTCTGCTCCACCTCCATCAACAGAACTCAGAGAAGGGGAGTGGGACGGGCAGGGACAGGCCTAGGCCTTCTTCCCAGCTGTCCATTCAGGTCAGACTGTGGAGTGAGGACAGGGATGAGGGTCCTTGAATGTCCCTCCACATGGAGACAAGAAGGGGAGAGCTTCCCTTGGGGAATTCAGGAAGGGGAAGGGACACTGGGGAAGGGCTTCCTGCTAGAGACAGGACTTTCTGGGCCAGGACTGGGAGGGTAGATGGGTGGACAAGTGGCGAGATGGGAAGGGGTTCCAGGTAGAGGGGCAGGGGGGACCGTGTTGGGCGCATGGCCCGAGGGATGGGAGGTGAGCTGGGTCGCTCTCCCTCCAGCCCCTCGAGCTGCCTGCGTCTGGGCCCCCGGGGCAGTGGTCAGTGCAGGGGCTGCTATGGTACAGCTGTCATACATGCACTCCCCACCTGGAGTGTGTGGCAAGTGCCTGGGCCTCTGGTGTAATCCCAAGAGTAGAATGCCTGGTATTTGTGTGTGTGTGTGTGTGTGTGTGTGTGTGTGTGTGTGTGTGTGTGTGTGTGTTAGTAAGCAAGATTTATTGAGAGGACAGAGAAGCTCCCACAGTGGGAGGGGACCCAAAGGAATGCCTGGTATTTAATGCTCCCCACTCCTTTTCCTCCCATTGTCCAATGCAGATGATGGACAAGAAATAGCCTGACCGCAAGGACCAGGAGACTGTCGGCGCTCCCTGGGGCTCCCGCCCTCCAGCTGCACCGGGGCCTCAGCGTGAGCCCTACCCCAACAGATGGGTTCCCACAGTGGCAGGTGGACTCCATCTGCAAAGAAGGCTACACAGACCACCCTGCAGCCTTGTTTCCTGATGGACATGATTCCCACGTCATCCTGCTGCCTTACTTCTTACGGACATGATGCACAGACCGCTCACCGCCTTATTTCTCTAAGTCATCCTGCCTGCTGCCTTATTTCTCCAGTGACACGATACATGCGTCATCTGCTGGTTGTTTCTTAGGGACACGGGACACAGAACACGCCACTACCCTATCCTTCCAGCACTGCAGGCACCATCCAGTTGCCCTTTTTTCCTCCAAAGGATGCAGTTTGCAGGCTGACTCCCTGCCTTATTTCTCTGAAGACAAAATCCACCGTCACCCCTTGCCTTGTTTCTCAGCTGGTCCTGATACACTACTTATCACTTCTCACTCTCTCCCCCACCCCTGCATAGAATCCTGTCCCTCAGACAAGGACACTGTGGCCTCAGCTTCTCTAGGAGCCTGGAGGCTGTCTCTTCCTGCCTTTTCCTGCTCTGGCCCCAGCATTGGCCCTATACCTCCTCACCCATGCACAGGTATGCAGAGACACACAGGTTCACGTGCTAGGACACGTGTGGTCTCCCCCTGCCTGGTCTCCTCTATGGTGCCCTGGGCTGTGCCCTGTGAGCCCTCTCCCTTGCCCTCCCTCCCCACAGGATGTGTGTGCTGGCCACACTGGTTCTCTGGGGGTCTGCAGGGGCCCCTTGGAGCTCAGCTTCTGTCCCTACCTTTGGGGCCTCTGTTCCTCTCCTTTATCCATTCGGTTTGTGTTTGTCGAGGACATGGGTGTCAGCACGGTGTCAGGTGCAGGGGGGCCCTGGGTGAAAAGACAGGACCCTCCTACCAGGACCTCCCACCCAGCTGGAGACAGTTAACGGTCACGGCCCCACCTCGGGGGTGGCCCCTGCCCTGCTCCCTGCTGTGCCCTTTTCTGTGCCCCCAGCTTCTGGATACCTCACCCCCAGCACACCCCTGATTCTCACCCAAAGTGTGGGGCAGGGGCAGAAACCCAGGGTGGACAACGCCCCTTCCCACAGCGGAGAATCTGATGGGATCTACAGCGTCTTTCCAGGCGAGGGTGGGCGCCATGGCCCTCCGGACCTCACATGGCAGCAGCCCAGGCCAAGCCCTGGCCCCTCTTCATGGCTGGAGCTTGAGGTGGGGCAGGGCCCGGAGGGCTTCGGGGACACAGCAGGGCCTGCTCCCCCACCATGGTGCTACTCTGGGGCTGGGGAAGACCTCTCCTGGCTGGTCTCCAGCTGCCCCCGACGGAGTGGAGCTTCTGATGCCTGGTGGCATCTCTCCCTCCCCAGGCTTGAGGATGTGAGTGTTTCTAATTTAAATGTGGAACTCTGAGGAGTTTTGTAAACTGGGGTGTATGTCGGGGATAATAAATGTCTTTGTAAAAAGCATTTTCTCTGTGGAGTGTGTGGAAGCCAGGGGGCCTCATAGCTGAGCAGGAAGGAGGCCCTCCTGGAGGTTCCAGGTCAGGGTAGGGATACCAGGGCCTCCCTAACATCCTCAAGTCGCTGGGTCTTCACAGCCATGTGGCCCCTTCCCTGGCCTCAGTTTCCCTCTTGGTAAGGTGAAGTTTGTCAAAGCCAGGCCCTTTGGTTACTGTGCAGGCCTCCTTCCACTCCTGGAAGCATCATGCAGTTTCTTTGCCTTCGAAAACTCAAACCCTAGGCTCGTTTTACAAAGAATACAAAGATTAGTCAGGTGTGGTGGTACAGACCTGTAATCCCAGCTACTCAGGAGACTGAGGCAGCATGATCACTTGGGGCCAGCCGGGCAACATAATGAGACCCTCCTGTCTCTACAAAAAAACTATAAAATGAAAAGTTATCCAGGCGTGGGGGTGCATATCTGTAGTCCCAGCTACTCTAGAGGCTGAGGCAGGAGGATCGTTTGAACCCAGAAGTTACAGGCTGTGGTGAGCAGTGATCTTGTCACTGCCCTCCAACCTGGACAACAGAATGAGACCCTATCTCAAAAAAAAAAAAAAATGAAAAAGAAGACACTGAACCCTGAAGTGCTGTGCACCCGTGAGGGTTGTTCTTCCCCTCCCCCAACCTGCAGTGAGGTACACGCTGTTGCTCCCTAGGTGACTGTTGCTCCCTAGGTGATGTGTAGATGAAACCCAGGGACCCAGAGCAAGTTGTCTGAACCTCAGTTTGCCCATCTGTACAACACACGGTAACCGGTGCTTTTTCAAATGACGGGGCTGGGTTAGCCTCAGGCATGATTCTAGCAAGTGCTCGAGGGACAGACCCAGCAGGTGTGAGACCTGCCTGGGAGCTGAGGGATAAGGAGAGTGGCCACCACGTCCTCCCGCATGACACGTGCCCTGGACAGCAGTATTTTTAGCTGCTCTTCCTGGGCGAAGTTCCAACTCTTGCATTTTAATGGAGAAATAATTCTCACAGTGCGACAAGCTGTAGCCTGCAGGTGTCACATCCATATTAAAGAGGGGACAGAGCTAGGTTCATTTGCCTGGCTCGAGGTGTGACCAGAATTCGCCTCCCAGGCCACTTTTAACCAGGGCTATGAAGACCAATTAGTGCATCCAACCACTCACTACCCAGGGGGAGGAGACTTGGCGGGGGCAGTGGTGGAGGGGGTGGAGGGGGCTGGGTCATCCTGCCTTCCTTGAGTGGCGCCTTCCATGAGAGTCTTTGTGTGTGGGGGGGGGAGGGGGGTCATCTGGCTTGGCCTGGCCCTGTCCCAGCAGGTGGTGCCAAGTGGGGTGTTGGTATACACGTGACTGGTGGACAGAGACCCCGCAGATCCTGAGCCGGGCAATGTCCGGGAATCCCGTGCAAAGTCCAGGTCTGAAGCTGAGACACAAAGCCAAACATTTTTCCCAGTAGCCAAGAACCCCAGCCTCCAAATGCAGGGGCCATGCAGAGAAGTGGGAGCCAGAGGTGGTGGAGAGCTGGGGTGGGGGATGTGGGGTGGGGGTAGGAGGATTGGGGGCTTGCGGGCAGCAGATTCAAGCAATACAGAAAGGTAGAAAGCAGATGTCCTCACCTCTTGTCCCCTCGCTTAGAAGGAAGCATTTTAAAACCATTTGTATTCGTGTTATTTTTTTCATCGAGATGGGGATCTCGCTATGCTGCCCAGGCTGGTCTTGAACTCCTGGGCTCAAATGATCCTCCCACTTCAGCCTCCCAAAGAGCTGATATTACAGGCATGAGCCACCACATCTGCCAGCTTGTGGGTGCATTTTAACATTTGTAGAGCTGCTAATTGTTTGAACTGCCTTTGTAGCCAGTGTCTTGGCAAGATCGTGCAAACAAAGGAAACTGAGGGTCACTGGCAAAACTGATTCTAGGCAGGGAGAAAACGGTGCTTGGAGTTCATGTCCAGCTGGGCTGCCAGCAGAGCCCGCCGCAGATGGGACCTGTGGTCTTCCCTCCCTCCCACACCCTGGACTGCCTTGACCTATAGCATCTGCCTCTGACTGCTGTTGCCTTTGTTCCCCAGGAGCTGTCTTTGCATTTTGGGGACCTCAGTCCCGGGGGGAATGCCTCTGATTCCCGCTGGGTGGGAGGCCCAGCTCTGAGGTCTGAGTGGGTGTGTGCAGGGGCTGAGCCCTGCACCTGGAACCCCTGAAGGTAATTGATGGGGTGGAGGGGAGCGGGGGGGTCATCAGTGTCCTGTTGAATACAGGTGTCTAAGGCAAGTTAAATCACACCTGTGTCTGAGGGCCTCCTAACCTGCCCTCTGGTGCTGCCAGCTCCAGGTAGTGATGGTGATGCTACTTCATCACTAATAGGGCAGCACTTCGTTAGAAGAGAGGAAAGCCTGAGTCTCAAAGGGCAGCCCTATCCCAGCACTCAGACAGAGGGTGTGTGACCCTTCATCTGAGCAGCAAAATACCCTCCTCCCCTCAAACTCCCTCAGCTAATATGATTTCTCTACTCCCCGGCCCCCTATTCTAGATGGGCTTTATCCTTGTCTCTTTCAGACTGAGGTCCTGACATGGATCAAAATGTTTCAGCTCATAATAGATCAGCTCTCACCTCCGTGATCCTGGGCACTATGCTCCTAGTGATGTGCCCCAGATCCCATTGGCCCAGTGGTTCTCATCTCTGACTGCACATTGGAATCACTTTGGAAGTTTAAAATAATACCAGTGCCTGGGCACCATCTCCCCAAATTCAGATGCAGTTAGTTGAAATCATTGCTAAATATTTGATGTGTAGCCCACAGGGGCCTTCACCTGGCTTATACCTTAATGTAAAATAGGGTTCAGAGGACGACCCTTGCAGAGACCTTTGAAGCCCAGTCCCTGAGATAAGCTAGCTGTTCTCAGTGGTCACTGTCTCAGTTCAAGATTTTTGTCTTCCAACTAAGGGAAGCTCAGAAAATCCAGGAGTGAGGAAAGTGGAGGGGAGTGACCGTGATTATCATGGGATGAGGAAGGATCTGTCGTCCCCTGTGCTGTGGGTCCTGGAGGGAACAGGAACTCTGAGGTCCTGCCCTTGGTCAGACCAGACACCCAGGCCCTGGGAGAGTGAGGAAGGCTGGTGGGCCACTGGGGATGGCTCAGCCCCTTCCAGCTCTAGGAAATGCGAGGCCCTCCCCGCCCCCAGCCCCCTTCTCCCTCCTCCTCCCTTGGGGTCTCTCTCTTGTAGCCCCCGGCCTTCAGATGTGCAATCACAAGGCTGATTCCAGCCCCTTCCTCCCTCCAGCACAGAGTTCTCTGCAGAGGGAAGGACCATCTGTCCTGGTCCCTGTAGCCTTCAGTCTATGCTCGGAGCTAGACTCAGGGACATAATAGCCTTTGCACTCTCCCCACAGCCCCGACGCTCCTCTCCGTCTCAACTGTGATTCTGTCTCAACTGTGATTCCGTCCCAAGCTGCCCTGAGGGTCTCTGCTCCATGGCAGTCTCCAGAGTGACTGGAGCACAGCATCTCACCTTGGTCACTTCCTCCCACCCCTGTGCCTCTCTCAGGCCTCCGGTTCTTCCTCGGTCTCAAAAACTCACTTACTCAGAGTCTATCTGTCTGTCCACTGTCACCCACAGGCCGTTGTGAGTCCTGGATGCTGGCCTGCACCCTATTCCATTTCCTGCCTGCTCCTGGTATGTCAGTATCCTCTCCCAAAGAATCCTTGTGGAGTGTGACCCCCATTACTGTTGAGGGCAGGGAGGAGGGACAAATATGTGTCCCTTTAGGGTCTGCAGTCACTGGACTGACATCTTGCCTTATTTGCCAAGATAATTTAGTGTAATTTGCTGCTAGTGAATGAATATGCTTCTTTTTCTTATAGCTTTTTTTAAGTTGGGGTGTCACTCTGTCACCCAAGCTGGAGTGTAGTGGCATGATCTTTGCACCTCAGCCTCCCAAGCTGGGATACAACACTATACCTGGCCAATTTT